AGCCGGGCAGTGGTGGCGCTCGCCTTTAATCCCAGCACTCAGGAGGCAGAGCCAGGTGGATCTCTGTGAGTTCGAGGCCAGCCTGGTCTACAGAGCAAGATCCAGGACTGTAGCTAGAGTTTTCCTGCCTTGCCCATGTGGGACTGGCGGGTGACAAAGATTTGTCCTGACTGTGGGCAAGGAAAACTCAAGCTACACAGGTCAGGCACCAAAACCACACGGATAAACCTGTATCGAGGGGGAAAAAAAAAAAAAAGCAGGCTGATAAATTCTATAAGCAGCCATGGGGAGCAAGGCAGTAAGCAGCACCCCTCCATGGCCTCTGCATCAGCTTCTGCTTTCAGGTGTCAGCCCTGCTTGAGTTCCTGTCCTGACTTCCTTGCATGATGAACAGTGATGTGGAAGTGTAAGCCAATAAACACTTTCTTCCCTAACTTGATTTTTGGTCATGGTGTTTTGTCACAGCAATAGGAACCCCAAGACAAGAGACCACGATGAACACTGTGGACAGAACACCAGGCCCAAGTTCCTAGGAGCCACAAAAATCGGCTTGGGAACCCAATGGGCAGGGCCAGTCCTGAACACTAGCATTCCTGGAACTCTGTCAGACTTTATTTACAGATTTTAAAACTGTGTGTGTATGTGGGAATGCACGCGGTTTGTCTGTGCCGGTGCTTGTGAAGGCCAAAAGAGGGCCTATTGGATCCTCTGGAGACTGAGTTACAGGCAGTGACTGAACAGTCTGATGTGGGTGCTGGGAACCCAGCTCCACTCCTCGGCCAGAGCCGGCTGTCGCCATAACCAACTACACCAGGATGAGACTCTCCTGTGTCTTGACCTTAGTTTCCTCATCTGTAAAATGGGCAGCCAATACTTTTGGAATTCAGGTCTTTCATGTGTAAATTATGGAAGACCAGAGTGACTTGAATGCATGAAGTCATGCCCTGTCCGTCCCCCACTCCCAACCACGAAGGATGATTGGTTTATATTTCTATTCAGCTCAGTAGCAGATCAACAGGGACTTCGACTGGGTGGCCCTCAGGACAATGAAACTAGGCAGTGGGCTTGAGGGGAATTTGGAAGTTCCCAACAGGTAAGAGAAACAGGCTGAGAAGTTCTGAGTGGTTTGTACTGATAGAAGCAGAGTGCACCAGGAACCCTGGCTAAATGCTGGCCGTCACCTCAGTTTCCCTGTCTGTCTAGTAGGAACACTACTATGACTCAATTCATAGGGCTGCTATGAGGAGTCAATGAGTTGATCCACACAGAGCTCTCATTTCTGGCACGAAGTTATTATTATCTAAGGCCCTAAGCCTCAAACATCTATTGTTAATTTGAATAATTTCTGAAATCATGGTGAGCCCAGGAGAAAACATTTGTTTTCACAAGTTCATCAGAGGCTGTATCTCTCCAGCCACAGCCCCCGCCTCCACCAGACTCCTCAAGGAGCACTTTTAGTAAAACTCCCCTCAGGAGGAAGACCCACCCAGGGACCAGACCTTCCTTCCACAGGCCTGGGGATGCTGGTGAGGGGTGGACACTAAGGGTGTGAGTGGCTAATGGGTATGAGAGAGACCCCACCAGGACTAGCAGACAGTAAAAGGCAGGAAGAGGAAGCCAAGGACACAACCTGAGGGCTGCAGTTTGTGGAAATGTTTTAATTAGAGGATTTGTAGATACAGTGGTTAATCTGTGGCCCACAATTCCTTACCAATGAGGCCTCATGCTGGGATACCCTCCTCCCCACCATCTGAACACAGGATGGTCACAGACCAAGTTCTCATGTTACAAGATTCACATCTCTGGTAAGCCAAGGACCGTGGTACAAAAGGAACATTTCATAGCTGGAGTCACTACAGTTTGCTAGAAACATCAGTTACTTTAGAATACTTTTAACTATAAAATATATTGAATTTCCATATATTAACCATATACATGTGAACCTATTACTAAATGTAGTCAGTTGTTACAAAATAAGACATTCTGAGAGCAGGCTACACACACACACCAGCCTGAACTCCCCGGGGGAGGCCCCGAGCCACCAACTGCAACTGTCCGTCCAGCTCAGCTCCGGACTGGATTTGTGGCTAAACATACCCAGTCCATACAGGTGCCACCAGCTGTGGGAACACAAATCCCTCCAATTTCAGAGTGAAGACTCCTGCTGCAGACCTGGGCATGGGCCCAGCCCTCCCTTGCTTGGTCCCTGAACTCGAGTCACTGGTGACTGGTTCCCATGCCAAGGGTCTTCCAGGGGGTCTCAGGAACAAGTCTGATGGAGCCCGTGACCACCGGCAATGTCCACTGCACCTCCCTGTGCACTGTGAGCCCCAAGATCACAGACCCAGCCCGGCCCAGGCATGGGCTACAGCCTACTGCTAGGTAGCAGCTTCACCCCAGACCAGGTCCAGCAGAGTGTGTGGACAGTGGTACCCGAGGTAATCCTGGGCCGAGGCCATGCCCATGCTGGTCCTTTGGGTTGTAGGGTGGGATTGAATGCAGGCCAGGAGGTGCAGGAGCTGTGTGCTCAGGTGCTCTAGACAAGGACCTGCTGTTTGCCAGGGCCGGTGGCAGGGCTGCCTTCTCCAGGGTGCAAGGGCAAGGGCATCAAAAGGCCTGAAGCCAGCTATCAGGGCCCACAGTACAACTGGCAGGCAGGGAGATCAATACAGGCAGGCCACTGTGTCCTTGGCCCTCACTTGGTCTGGATCAGCCAGTCTTTCACCCTGCTGGGTTTATGAAGGCCGATGCAGATTCCGACTTCTTGAGGGTCTCATGCCGCCTGGTACCTTAAGGCCCAAAGACCCAGGTGGGGAGAACAGGACACACCTCTGTACATAGTCCTATTTACAAAGAGCCAGATGAAGATGGAGCTGCATGGGGCCTGGGCACAACTCTAGCAGAAGCTGTGAGAACTCCTAGGTGCTGGTCCTGGGGCTCAGCCTTGGAGCCTGGCAAGGGCTGCAGCCATATAAGGAGGCCAGACATAGTGAAGTACCTCCTCACATTTTAATGATGATAATGCAACAAAACCTTTATATAAACAGTTTATTTACTCTAAACAGCAACACAGACAGAACGCCATATAAACACAAAGGAAGTGGTGCAGAATGGAGATGCTGGCCAACTTTGGATCTGAGGCTCATAAGCAACAGCCCAGGTTTCTGAGGAGGACGAGGGTGGGGAGGGAGGGACAGTGTGGTTCTGTCACACAGCCAGCTGGAGGCCAGAGCTCTCAACAGTGGGAAGCATGCCTGCATCCGAGCGCGAAGAAACTAGCTCCTAGGGGCTTACCAAGTACAAAAGTTTATCATTTTACAGCAGTTGAAATACTGACATCAATATTAAAATAAAAGCAAGTTTTACATAACAATCAAAAATACAAAAGACTGAAGGAAGAGACCCTGTATGAAAAACTGGGGCAATTCAGCGAATTGAGACTGTATATGCCAGTGGCGGAAATGGAAAATGGCGCCCGCTCAACCCTCCCAGGCGACTAGTAACTGTACGCAGCGACTTAGATCTGCAAAAGGTTGTAAACAAGTTCTTGCCAAGCCAATCCCTTCCTCGTCATGGAGCCACAGGGCCGCTGCTTATGAGGGGGCAAACTTCTTCGCTTGTGCTCGAACCCTTTTCTCATATTCCACTCTGTTTTGGCAGTAAATTGTGTAGGCCTCTGCTTGAGCTGGGTCTTGAATATTTGGTTCATTTAGAAGTTCTTGTATTCCTAATAAGATCTGTTTGATCGTGATAGCTGGCCTCCAGTCCTTGTCTTCCTCCAGGATGGACAGGCACACTGTGCCAGAAGGATACACGTTTGGGTGAAACAGTGGCGGCTCAAATTTACATTTTGGTGGTGAGGACGGATAGTCATCTTTGAAAAGCATCCGCAGTTTGAACAAGCCTCCTTCCCATGGCGTCCCCTTCTTTCCAGGGATAGCGCACTCCCAATTCATCAGGTTCATCGTGCCATCAGGGTTCTTTGTTGGGACAGCCACAAAGCCAAAAGGGTGGTCCTTCCTCCAAGCTTTCCTTTCCTGGGCAAGTCGGCTGAGGGCGATCCCCGACATATTCAAAGTCCCTGGGCGACCGCGGCCCGGACCGTCGCGGCGGTAGAGGCGGCGGCGCTCCTTTTCCTTATTTGCCTTTTTAATTATAACATTTCTATTTTTATTCTAAGCTATTAATTAAAGTAAATCAATAAACATGATTCATAAGCTCAGGATATGATACTTGGCACATCTGACCTTGCTCTCTTTCAAAGGGGACCAAAGTACAATGCCCATTTTAAATTCAATTATTTGTCATCTTTCTGATGAATTTTTTTCTTTTCAGTTTTCTGTATTATTATGAGTTTTCAAGTTTATATATATACACATGTATATATATAAAATCTACAAGAATTTCATATGTGTATATAATGTATTTTGTTCATATCCAACAACCCACTCCCTCTGGGATGACCCCTGTGTCTCTCTCAACTTTTTTTCTCAGATAACATATGGAGTCTAAAATTAGTGTGACCCAAATGTGTGTGAATCCAACACTGGAGCATGGTCAAGTTTCTAGGCTCTTAAGGCCTTGTTAGATTCTATTTGGACACAAATTAATTTTTATTAAAAAAAATTGACATTGTGGATCGAGCTACAGATATTAATGTAAAGAGAAATAATTTAGGCACAGAAGGATAAGTAGTACATGAACTCATTCATGTTGAAAACTGACCTCAGGGAAACTGGGAGTTGAACGGTAGCAGAGACAGGGGAGGCTGTAGAGATGCAGAGGTAGTAAGGGAGAATCAGTGGATGCTGAGTCCCGGTTAGATGGCTTTGGTGTGGTGGATATAGGAAGCTGACTTTAGGTAACAATCAAATTGATCCTCTTTCTCTATTTCACATTAGTTTGTTGATTCATTCATAGATTAAAAAATAAAAAGTAGACCCTTGAAC